CAAGATAAGATAAGATAATGTAATAAAGATAGGTTAGAAGAAGAATATCTAGTGCAAAAATTTAGTTTGAAAAGACATATTAAGGAATTAAAAATTTGTATCTCTAATACATTAGTTTGTTTTTCATAGTGGAATTATCTTCATCCTCCGATTCTAAGATTATTCTTTTGTTTATATTCATGGGTCTTATTTCTGTGTAAATTTATTTAAAATAAAATAAAATAAATATTCTCAATTGTCATAAAATAATATTGATCTACTATTTTTTCTTACCTATATCACTATTCGATATGAATATGAAATTATCCATTATTGGAGAAAAATAAAATAAGTAACCTAATATAGTAACTTTCGGCACGTGAAATAAAACAATTGTGAAGCCACCGGTGGTCACTAACCCTGCCACCTGTATATTGGAAATTGGAATTGTACCACTTTCATAATCAATGGTTACGCAATTTCTTTTACCGGCCTCATGTTCCTTGTGTCAAGTTCATAATTCTCTACATTCGTTTGAAATAACCGTTATCGATGCTGTTGGGGCGTCACAGCGTCGTCAGTAATAACGACGAATTATGATGCTATAAATGTGGACAGTATAAAATAACTATGATCTATCAGAGAATACCCTCTCTCGTGGTAGACTGCCATCCCTCCAACGCAACTCCAATATTCGCCGATTGGCCCTGCCCAATTTTTTTTTTGTGGCAATAGTCAATTAGCGAGTCCGTTCCAAAGCACACGTCCGCATCGCCCCGGCAAAGGCAGGAAAGTTCCTCCAGGTATCACCGTCATAAAACAATGTCAGGCTGACCCTTCGGAACTTTTCCTTCTTTATGACTCATCCCGGCCATCGAGGCCGAGAGAAGCGAAGTCCCAAAAACCTAAGCTCAAAACAATAGCCGGTTAGGCACGTCCGTGTCATAAAGACATTAGTGCTGTGTACTAACAGATGCGAAACGTTGAACGTAAAACGTATCGAGGGTTGCGAGTATGCGAGTTTGCAAAATGAATTCGAGGTGTTGATCTGTACAAGGAGAACTTTATTTACTCGACAGACGGTGTTTGCCCCATCCAGCGGAAAAACGCTGATGGGGAAAACGTTGATGAGCCAAAATGTATCGCCGATAATTTGGCTAACAGTTTGAGTCTTTTGTCACTGCATCGATTGGCGCTGTATGGATATCGGAACGGAGCTTCATCTTTTCTTCGACAGAGGCGCCACAATGCAGCGTGCACTGCAGGATAATTCAAAAACATTAATTACGGCGATTAATTAATAATAACGATATAATATAGCAGACGTTAAGAAAAAAAAAAGTAAAGTTGGTAAAGAGGACGTAATTCTAAACAGTTATCCTATTGAAAGGTTTCCTTTTATTTTAAGTCGAACAGACAATATTAATATTAGGGAGGATAGACAGTATAGGAGGACTTTCGACTATCGATACATAAATATTATTCTTTAATTTTTTTTTTACTGAGAAGTAATGAAAATAATAATCCCCTTAAAATTTGCCCAAATAAATCTATGATGAGGGATGTAATAAAACTATGAATTTAAAGTAAACC